TGTGTGTGTGTGTGTGTGGTGGGAGGTGCCTCCTAGAATAGCAGGGTGTGTGTGTGTGTGTGTGTGTACTAAACCTCTCTACTGCAGCAGTACCTATGTCTGGAACTGCCACTTTCTGGCTATGTGACCTTGGCAACTCACTTAAGCAGCCTGTATGTCCCCAATCCTCCTTCCTGGAGGCAATGGCAATACTCTTTTGCTACTGTCTCACCTCTGTGCCTCCCTATGTAAATCAGGCCCCTGCTGACTAGCAGACTAGCACTGTTACTAGTCAGAGGTTTTATTTGTATGGAATCCCATTCATCTGTGGTTGGTGGGAGGAGGCCCACCCAGGCAGTCGACTACATCAGCACAGGTTTCCCTGGGGCAGATCCACCTTCCCTTACCCTTCTCTTATGACGGCAGCATATTTCCCAGACAGACAAGCAGGAAAGCTGAGTCTCAGAAGTAGGCAACTCTTCCATTCTGGGGTCTCATGAACTGCTGCTCCAGTGTCTGCAATCACTCGTTGTGCTTCATACCATTCAGACGAGTATTGTGTGGTTTAAAATTATTCAACAGCTATCCATTTGGCCTGACCACAGGTGCTCTGATAATGCACCAGGTAGGCAACCTAAAGTAGCAACCCACTCTGGAGCTGCATCAGAACCACTAAGGTGGCTTGATAAATAGAGAGGGTTTCTGATTCTGGTGCATAGATCTGAGCCTTTCTAACAAATCACCGAGATGCAAAAGGTGCTAGTCCCATTTTAAGAATGTTTGGTCTAGAAGAAGATAACAGGTAACAACCAAGTCATCACAGGATTCCTCCTACTATAAACAGCAAGGTGGTGTCACACTTGAAGGTGGAATGTGTACACATGGGCTGTGGGGCTTGGGGCCATCACAGCCTGGGAAGGGTTGAGTGAAAGAACACAGTGACACCAAGGACTTGGAGCTCAGAGAACGAGACAGGTCTCTAGAAATGCTGGATCACACGGACTTATTTCATCACTCTTAGACAAGGTGTTGTTAGACCACACATGAGCTGGCCTCGCCCCTGTTCTAAGAGCCACCAAGCTTTTGAATATAGTCCAATTTGTGTTTTAAAGGGCAATTGGATGAAACTGGCAGTGGATGGGTGGAAAGAGGGTGACTGTGGCCAGCTGGAAAGATATGGCAGTGGTCCAGATTGGGGGGAAGGGGAAGACAGAGCTTTTAGCTGCCTTGGACACTTTATCAATCCATGTTCCATATGGAAAAGATATTTCAAACAGGTCACTGATACTGGAGATTGAGTACATAGGTATTGGAAAAACAAAGTATGTAAGCTTACCCAAAGATTGCTCTAGAGTACTAGGTCTAAGGACAGGCTCCCCTAGGATGTAGCAAAGTGGCATGCTGATTATTTTAAGTTGAAGGAAATTGCAAGGCAGATGATTTTAAGAATATGGTTTTGCATAATTCTCTGTCTCCCTAAAAACAGAGAATAAATCTTCTCTGTGGTGGTTCTAAAGGTGAGAGACAGCCTATTGCCCAGAGCTGGGGTTTGCAATGTTTTCAATACAAATGTATATAACCCTGCAAAATTCCTTTTTTTTAAATGTCAAATGTCAGATTTTTTCTTTTGATCTGTGTGTCCCTCCCTTGAACTAGGAGTGTATTATCCCTTTCTAGAAATTGTATGCCCTCAATTGAGCAGATGACAAGTTCATAATCTATGTACACATATAAAGTTTGTCTTTTTTTCTTGCTAGTCTCTCATATCAATTTATTATTCGGACAGCTAAAAGAACCAAAGAGGGTGAGGGAGAGCCCTCCAAATTATCTCTTTCAAGGGCTAAGGATCAAGAGTGAATAAGCTGTTATCCAAAGCCAGGATCGCTGGCTTTTCCCAAGCAGGAACCCAGAAGCCTGCACTCAATGACCACTGCTATTTCTCCCACCGCTGATGTCACTGCTATTGTCATTGTCTCCTATGGCACTGGCAGAAGCCTGAGGAAAAATGTTTCTCCCTTTTGCCTTGTACAGGAAACTGGTAAGTTAGACGGTTTGGGATGTATCATGTTTTCTATCTCCAGGTCAGAGTTAGCAGGAACAATAACAGACCCAAGGGCATCATCTTGACTGGAAACAGAGGTTCGGTGACATGAGTCCTCTCTAGCATCCTGAATGACCTGGAGTTCCCTGTGCTAGTGTTGCTGACAGACTGGGCAGTCCCAACCTGGGACCTTTTTCACCATGATCCAGAACACCGCATGTAGATGTGTAAGTTTAAATTTAACTACAACTAAATTAACTTAAGACTTCCATAGAAAACACATGAGCAAGAATGGCCCCTGCTGTAAACTGCAGACTCTAGTTGGTAAAGATGTATCAGCATAAGTTCATCAGTTGTGACATATGTACCCCTGTGGTATGGGATATGAGAGTGGGAGAGGTAATAGGAATGTACAGGAAAGGGTGATTGGGAGGAAGAGACCTCAGGTGACCCCTAAGCTGGACCCTGGGATATAGGCATCCCTCATCCCCTCCCCTGATCTTAGAATGTATATTCCACCATTCTCACAGTGGTGGCTATTTTCAAGAACACAACCTAAACCTCTAAAGAGCAAGGTATAGAGACCATCTGTACAGTATATATGGCTGAACCCCACTATAAAAAAAGATTTGGCAGGTGAGAGTGGTCTTATGACCTATCAAGACAAGCAATAAGTTCCCTTATTAAACCGGCCACCAACCTTTGCAGGGAGGGGCCTGCCTTGTTCTTCGGCTCCTCCCTGCCCTGAATATAGAGGAACAGCTCCAGATTCCAGCTAGGAAGCTCCCAAGGTTTGGAACCAACAGTGTGTGGAGATAGAAATGTAAAGAGTCCTCTCTATTTTCTGCACATTTTGTTGTGGGTTTAGAGCTGACCTAAAAAAATGTATTCATTAAGAAGAAATTCATTCCTCAGTTCTACCAGCCACATCTTCAGAGCACACATGTAGCCAGTGTACATGGGGAAGCAACTGCATCCTGTAGAAAGCTCTCCAGAAGACAAGCCCAGCAGTGTCTGCCATGGTCTAACTTGTCTTTGTCCAATTGTTTCTGGCATTTTCTCACTAGGCCTGGCTCTGCTTCTTCCCTCACTAACTTCACATTCCATTCAGAGATAGAAAAGGTGGTCTGTGTTTGATTTCCCACTGAAAGGGAGAGTTTTTACTTTCCAAGAGGAATAATCAACCATGAAGAACAACACACCACCGGCTGAAAAATCCAAATTCAAAGACCTGCCAACTTCAGCCAAAGTGAGAACAAAATACTTCTTCCTAGGCAGACATTCACATTTATCATCTACTGACATGCTATATATAATTTCCAATTTGCTGAATTCCAAATTTCTGCTATCTTAAATTTATTTCCAATACAAATTTATACATGAGAAGAGGTCTGTCTCTTTAAAACAGAAGACTGCTATGTGCAACTTTTAAAGAGAAAATTATTGAGTTTCAAAGAAAAGAATTAAACTGAAAATTATCACTATTTTTCCTAGAGAAGATGAATTTCATGTCTCTTTTTAAAAGAGAATTAATAGCCACAAAGGTGGGGAAAACAACATCAGCTCCTTTATGGCACACCAAATGTCTGGGCACAAGGCCTGGGTCTCCAAAGTTATCAGAGCATAGCATGTAAAACCTTTCCATGACAATTGCTCCATATGAAGACATTGGAAAAAGCTTCACATGTATCACTAGTTAATTTACAACCCAAAGAAGTAAGGTCTTATTTTTCCCTTTTCAAGGAAGTTTTACTAAC